GCTGATGTATAGCTGAAATCAGCCGCACTGAGCTAAACTGAATAGCCGATCGTCGTTCGGTTCTGTTCACTTCGGCTCGGTTATTCACTCGGCTGCCTTCGGCAGCTTAGTGATTAATCCTCTAAATGTTTATTTTATTTATGCTAGTGATTGAATAATTGGACAGTTTCAAAATAAAGTGTCTATAAATCAGTTTAAATAAAACTAAAAATGAATGAATACTGAAATTAAAGTAGTATTAACATGACTTGTATGATTAACTTTCAGAGATTTTACTACTTCAGTAAAATATTTGTTAAACCAGATACAACACCCCCCTCTAGTGGTAGTTTGGAAAAGCACAAGTATTAGATCAAGGTGCTTTTAAAGTGACACTAAACTGGGGAGTTACATTTTAAAAATGATTTCAAGTGCCTTAACTATTAGCAAAAATGTATCTTATGTGTGCATCACTCCACTGTAGATCCTCAAATAACCTCTGAATTGGTCCTTCCTTCTGGGGGGGTGGCTACTTTTGTTCTCCACGGTCCCTGTGTGTGTAAAGTAGCCATGGCTCCAAGCTCGCTCCTGTGATGGACTACAATCTCACATTTAGTTTACTAACTTGTATTAAGATTGTAGTTCACCACGGGAGCGAGCTTGGAGTGGTAACTACTTTACAACACACACAGGGACCATGGGGAACAAAGGTAAATAAGCTTTATTTTAGTTAATAGTTAAGGTACTTGAATGCATTTTTAAGCCGACCGTTCTCCCCACCAAAGACAGCAGCTGGGCGGAGCCAGCCTAGGATGACCCCATGCCCGCACCCCCACAACTAAATCTCCAGGGCTTGTGGGGAAGAGGCCCTTGTCCCCATCGGCACGGGGACAAGGTGCTTTTCCTGGGGCAACCTTGGAAAAGCAGCCTCCCAGTGCCGAGGGTATGTGGCCTGGTATGGCAGGGAGGGGGGGCGATCCCTGCCATACCTCCCCCCTTTCCTGCGCTGCCAGGCCTGTGCTCGGATCACGTTTTTTCCCTATTTTTGGGGGTGGGATTCCTCCTTAAAATTCCTACCAGACCTTAAGGGCCTAGTATGACTTTGGGGGGGGGAACCCCACACACTTTTCTTCTTTTTTTTTTTACTTAGGGGTCCCTCCTAAAATTCCTACCAGACCTAAAAGGCCTGGTATGACTTTTGGGGGGAACCCCATGCTTTTTTTTCCTTTTTTTTTAAACATTCCCTAACATTCCTACCAGAGCAAAAGGGTCCTGAATTGTTTGGGGGGGACCCCACGCTGTTTTTTTTCCTTTTCTTTAAAAAATTTGTTTAGTATTTTCTTAAAGGTTTTAAAAACAATTATTTTCTTTACATTTATTTAAAAAAAATTAAACATTTTGTTTTCATTTGTTTAAGTTTTTTCTATTCTGCTCGCTACCTCGGACTGGCATTCGGCTATTCACTCACTGCTGTTCGGCCCCTATAAAAATAGGGGTGAACGGCAGCGAGTGAGCTGCCGGAGCTCCAGCTCAGCCGATCTAGACGTTGGATCGACTGAGTCGAACTCCTTCTGCACTGCGGCTCAGCCAAACATGCAGAGCATGTTCGGCTGACTGAAGGCAGCCGCAGCCAACCGACGTACAGCTGAATTCAGCTGTACAGGGCTGAAGTGAATAGCCGAACTGCGTTCGGCTCACTTTACTTTGGCAGCTTTGTGAATAACCCCCTAGATAATTAAATCTTACAGCCTACTAAGCTGTAAGATGTGTCAAAATAGAATAATATGCAGTATACGTTTATTTCAAATGTAAGCAACAGCATGAGTCGGGTTTGCAGGTATATTAGAAGGGGGGACAAAAGGAGAGGTAGTAAAGGTTCACTGGTGATGTTAATGTAAAGCTTTTTAATAATTAGCCTAAAGTGAATTCTGGGCAACAATTTGGGCAAAAACGAAATGACACACTGTGACCTGAATCATGGCATAGCCTTATGGATTCATATACTGTAGACAGACTAATTTACTAATGGAGGTGACAATCTTCACTAAATAAATTCACTTAAATTATCCAGTCGTGTAAAAAGGACATTCCCGTTTATTTATTTCATCAGCACATGATTGGTGAACACAGCTACAATTTATTGATTGAAAATTCTCAACTCTTTTAGTACATCTTCTGCACATTCTACAGCTGTATTTTTCAACGTAAACTATTATTATGAACCTGAAAGGCCATACTTTTTATAATTGGAGACTATAATGTTTTTTCCATTTTATTTTAAACATTTTTAAATTGGAGTTTTACATCTCTTTCTACTATATGAAACCTCAGACAAAGCAATACAGGAAGGGAGATAGAGGAATAAGTCACAACTGTCTATTTTACTTGTCCATGAAAATTTCACATTGAGCTACCGAGATCTAGAAACCACAGGATTTCTAAGGTTAGAAGGGGAAAAAAAACCTGGAAGGTAAGCAAAAAGGAGGCTTCACCTTCACTTGCCAGCTGAACATAAGAATACATAATACGGTATTAATGTGCAGTATTTATTATTTAATATTTTTTATATGGCCTTTTCTATTTTTTTATTTTGTAGTTCCTATTACAATAATGAACATATAAATACTAAACTATTATACAAGCCTTACAAACATGTGGGCTCCGGGGACAGCATTTTAAAACTGGCTCACCTAGTGTAAGTCACTACAATAACATTGACCAGGGATGTCTAAGCCTCATTCTGCAAGAATTCTTTCTCACCTTTCCTATCAAATAAAAAAGTGACACCTGATTGGTTGCTAATGGCAAAAGTTTTATGGCTTATGTCTTTTTTTCCAGATTTCAGCCCAACCTTGTAAATGTTTTCTAGGGCAGGGTAGGCAGGGTAGGCAAGCTCAGCACTCCAGCGGTTGTGGAACCATACGTCCCATTATGCATTCCAAGGCTCTTGATAGCCACAGGCATTACTTCCAGAGTCAGACATAATGGGATTTTTATGGCCGAGCTTGCCTACCCCTGTTCTGGGGCTTCCCTGTGTATTTACTTCACTTGATAACTATATATTGATATCCAAGGGTCACACAAAGCTTGCTGAAGAAAAGCTGTCTTGGTTCCTTGTTCTAAAACTCTAAAGTCTGGCTTTCAAGTCTGTAATCCTTGGTGATTCAGGCTTCATGTCCCATATTTACCAAACATCCAATTTAATAAAAATTTGCAGTGCAAGAAAGAAATAATTTCTAATAATGAAACTCTTACAGATATCTATCAACCTCACAGTGATCTAGGAAGACAGAAGACTTTACCAAGACCAGAGCTCTGTGTTTTAGGATGTCAAATGAAAACTGTAATGGGGTCTGCCATTGCTGACTGGAACATGAAAGCAGACCAAAAGTTCTGGCTTTGTTCCGACTTCCCTGATCTGCACATTTGTTGTAGGTTATCAATATAGAAATTACTAAAACTAGGGGTCAGCATAGCAGCCACACAATTAGAAGTTTTTAGAAGTAGGTAAGTAGTCCCAATTAGCTCTTATGATTTTCACCAAGTAAAAATATATTTCAATGCTTAAATCACAACCCATATCATAAAACAATATAAAATCCAAAGTTCTGGTGTAAGGGTCCATTTACACTGGTCCATTTCAGTGTATTACATTAATGCAGATGTATTCATGCACTTTATGCCACACGTTAATGTTTGTTGAGTTGAAGCAGCCTATTTATTTGAATGGGCTGGCAACACATCAAAATTATTTCTAATGCAGGACAACACAATGCACAATAGTGTGTTACAGTGAGTTGTGGTGCTCTGAAACACATGTGCATTGGAGATGAGTTGGGCTCCTAAGGGGCAGTGCTGTTGAAAATGAATGGCACACACTTTTGTCTCTGTCAGGCATTGCTTCATGCTGCACTAACCCAAATTTTACATACAGTATACAGGCCACACCAAACCATCAACTTCAATGGGGCCTACCAGGAGAGTGTGTCTTTATTGGAAAAATAGGGGCTGTAGGTTAGTCATGTTGCAAGTGAATTTTTACTTTGCAAAGGGATTTTACCTTAGCTTAGTGAATGTGGTGAAAATTCTCTTTGCAAGGAATACCTAATCACATACAAAAAAAAAATCAAAACATTATTTTTGCTTGCACATGAAGAAATGATGAAGTCAGCAGAGCTTCACCTCATTCACTAAACTTAAAGTGAAATTAAGACCCCCCCCCCACACACACACACACACACACACTGCTAATGTAAGGACTTACCTTAAATGATGCCTCTTAATCCGATCATCTTCTTCTTTCCAGGAGCTTTTAGCTGTTCCTCCAGCACTGGTGCGGGTCTCCAATCCAGCGCTGAGTCCTCTGTCCTCCTCTTCTCTCATGTCCCACGGAATCTGTGCAGGTGCACGCTGCTCCATATACTTAACCTTGTGTCTCTCCTCGTCTCCCGGCTGAACATCTGAACTGCGCATGTGCCCGCCCCAAGATCCTTTGCGGCCACCCGAGAAATTTTCACATGTTCAGACGGGAGCGCGCGGCAGACACACAGGTAAGTATTAACCCTTTGAAAAAGTTTTTTTTCCTTTTCATCATTTTGCATATATCTACTGCTTGCCAGCAGTAGATATATGAAAAACAAATGAGGGTTTAATTACCCTTTAAGGAAGATTCCCTTGCAAAGTTAACAGCCTATTTGCCTTTAGTAAATCAACTCTATACAACCTGTAACACACATGTGAATGTAGCTTCAGTACAGCGACAAGGCAAACAATATAGTCAAGCTTCACCTATCACCAACATACAAGGCAGGAATCTATTAAGCAGCTGTAAGTGCTACACATCACATTGGTGTCACCAATAAGCATTCATTGGTGAGACTGAGATTAATGGTAAATAACCTTATCATTTTCGTGCATCCTGCATGAGCTCGGTGGCTCTCTGTGTACCTCACTTGCCATTCCATCTGGCAATGAAATGTCAACAGCTTTCATTTGTACTGTAAATGATGCTTGTTGAAACATCATATCTGTTAACAGGAACAAGATTTTACATAGTATCTGCACTTATGTTTTGTCCCTTTTTTTTATACATATTAACCAGCCTGACAGGACGTAATGGTGTCTTTACACTGCGTATAGACCTGTGCAAACTGTAAGCAAATGTTATTAAAAAGAATGTGGAACAAATTTCAATACATAAGATGGATAGATAGGAAATAAATAAAAACTTGCAGTGATGTATTTTACTTCCAAGAAGAAAATCACTGTCTTTAGAATGTAATGTTGTGGTTGAAGGAATGGTGGTATTATCCATCACTGTTGAGGATTGCAAGAATGTAGTAGATAATGCAGCAAAATTGTCTTCTGTTGATGATATTAAAAATGCTGTTGTTGCAGGTGATGTTGCCAAATGTGTTGTAGATATTACAGTTGATGATAGCTCAGGTGTAGTTGTAGTTAATTCACTGGTGATTACAGCTGTTAAAGTACATACAGTTGATGTTTCTGTAGAGGACATCTCTGTTGTACCTCCCACAGTTGTCAATAATGTGGTGAATTCCATAGTTGTGCTGGGCTCTGTAGTATATACTGCAGTTGAAGGGGTCTTTGTAGATTGTATTGTGGTGTGTGAGGTAGTTCTTGAAGCTGTTGTAGTCATGCTAACCGTTGTCGTTTCTGAAATAGTTGTTGCTGCATTTGTCTGTTGTTCGGTTGTAGGTTCTTCAGTTGTAGTCTGCAGAAGAGTTGTTTCTTTTGGTGTTGTGATTTCTAAAGTAGTAGGCTCTTCAGTTGTAGTCTGAACAAAAGTTGTTTCTAGCGGTGTTGTGATTTCTAAAGTAGTAGGATCTTCAGTAGTAGTCTGAACAAAAGTTGTTTCTAGTGGTGTTGTGATTTCTAAAGTAGTAGGCTCTTCAGTAGTAGTCTGAACAAAAGTTGTTTCTGGTGGTGTTGTGATTTGTATAGTTGTAGGCTCTGTAGATGTCATGTATGTAGTTGCCATTGTTGTTGTAGTTTGTACTGTTTTAACTTCATTGGTTGTGGTTTGCAGGAGTGTTGTTTCCAGGGGCGTTGTAACAGCTGGTGTTGTAGGCTTCATTGAGGTTATTGCGGTTGTTGTAGCTGTAGTTAAATGAGTTGTAATTTCTTGAGTTGTAGTTGGTGGAAGAGTTGTAGTTAAATGAGTTGTAATTTCTTGAGTTGTAGTTGGTGGAAGAGTTGTGGTTAAATGAGTTGTAATTTCTTGAGTTGTAGTTGGTGGAAGAGTTGTGGTTAAATCAGTTGTAATTTCTTGAGTTGTAGTTGGTGGAAGAGTTGTGGTTAAATCAGTTGTAATTTCTTGAGTTGTAGTTGGTGGAAGAGTTGTGGTTAAATCAGTTGTAATTTCTTGAGTTGTAGTTGGTGGAAGAGTTGTGAGAGGTGTTGTTGAGCTGTGAGTTGTTATGATAGGTTGTGTAGCAACCTGGGAAGTTGTTGTCAGTTGCTTGGTAGTTGGGTGAGTTGTGACAATGGCTCCTGCCGTCGTTGTTTGGACTGTCGTAAATTTTTTTGTTGTCATAAGAGTTGTTGGGCATATTAATTCATCTGACCTCATAGAAATTAGTAGTTTTCCATTATAATGAGAAGGTGACATACAAAATAGCATGTTAGCGTCTTTGACTTGTGCTAGATTGCTCATTATCCAGTCATAAAGATCTACCATATTACAATCACAAGCCCAAGGATTACCTTTCAAGTACACACCAGTCAGTTTAGGAATGGAGTCAATAGAAGGCACTGGAAAATTGGTGAATTGGTTTGCATTAAGCTTCAGTGTCTTTAACTGCGGAAGGAGAGAGAACACATCATCTTGTAAGCTACTAAGTATATTATTTTGTAAATTAAGCTCTGTTACCTTGTCCAGACCTTTAAACATTTCCTTTGTTAAATCATTTATTTGATTGTAAGAAATAGTCAACTTTTTCAGGGATTTAAAAGTACTAAATGTCTCTTGTGGAAGAGTTTTTAAGTTGTTTTGACTCAGATCAAGTTCTGTTATGAGCATGCCATCAGTTATTTGGCGTGGAAGCTTCTGGAGTTTATTTGAGTTTATTTTGAACTGCTTAATTTTATTAAGACCAAAAAATGTATTATCTGGAAGTTCCTCTATTTGATTACCATCTAAGGAAAGTTTTTCAAGTTTTTTTGATTTGGCCAGAAAGTTTTTGGGCCATTGCTGTATCTTGTTCTTGAAGGCACTGAATTCAGTCAGTTCATGGTTACTATCCACCAAGCCTGGTGGAAGATCACTTAAATTATTTTCATAGAGCCGAAGGATTTTTAGTTTGGTCAGTTTGGTAAATATGTCATCAGGTAATGTTTTGAGATTATTTTTTGCTAGATGTAACATTGTAAGGTTAACAAGATTGTTGAATGGATCTTGAGGCAATGCTGTCAGTTCATTAACATTTAAATAAAGTTCTTCTAAATTGTCCAGGCTGTCAAAGATACCTTGTTCAAGCAAATTAATTTTATTATTTTTCAATATGAGCTTTTTCAGACTCAAAAGATTTTGAAATATTCCACTCATCAGTTGCTTTAAATCAGCATTTCCAGAAATCTCTAGTTCTATGAGATTAGGCAAATTGTCAAATGCACCAACTTCAACTGATTGAATCTTATTGTTAATGAATGCTATTTTTTGCAGTTGACTCATGGAATTGAAAGCCCCTTTTCTTATTGTTGATATTTCCGTCTGCACAAAGAAGATCTCTGTGGTTTTTGATTTGATGGATTTAGGGATCTCAGTGATGGAGCTCGAGAAGACTTCTTGGTAGTCTTTGGGGCAGTCATACTCTTTTTCACACCGTGTGACAGGACTAGGTTTAGCAGTCTCAAATAAAATTAAAAGGAGAACTAAGAGCCTCATTCTGTTTCTGTTAATAGACAAAAGGAAATAAATATATATTAGACATATTAATCTGATGTGCTTATCAATACCTGTTTACCAAAAAAGATAAACTTATATATAAGTGTATCTAAATCAAAAAACAAAAATTAAATATCTTGCAGCTTACTAATCCCTAAACATGCTGACTGCATTAGGTTTGCTTAGGCTTTTTTCCTTTATTTTCACCTGATGATCTGGCCAGTAGCACGCTTCCTGTCTTAGGGTGGCTGCACTTTATGGAGGAGCAGTGGGGCCACCTTTGTACAGCAGCATTGTCATCCTTTGATAGGGTAGTATTAGATGCACTAGCAAATTTAGATAGACTTGACTAACAAATAAATCTGAACTCAAGCTAACACCTTTTTTAGGCAGTTACAGCAACAGTTGTTTTTTTACTTTTGGGATAAAGGTTTTACATAAATGAAGAAAAAAAAACCATCATAGGCAGCCCTGTCAGTGTTAAATGGACCACACCAGGTCCCTTCATCAGGCAATGTGATAAGAAAATGTATAATACAAAGCAAATATAAATACCCCAGTGAATCCAAGAACCAAAAATAACATCCTTTCCACCCCTTGGGACCTCATTGTGACTCCACATGCCTCTCCACCCCTTCTGACCTTGTTGCGACATTCACGTTCCCGCCATTTTAGTTTGGATAAACTCATTCAAAGCATCTGTATATGCATATGTATTACATCTTTTTTCACTTCTGTTGTAATTGTATGCATCATTGACATAGTGAACGGTGCACAATTTGTGATAGTTCACATGTAACATTGCATACTATAAACATGTACAGCAATCAAGCACAGTGTACATGTACTAGTCCGAATCAGTGCATATATACAAATCCTGAGTGCTGGGCTCTACCTTTGTTTAGTCGTTCTCACTTTTGCTGACTTCTCTGCTGACTGCTGTGGTAAAATGTGCCCTTTATTCACTACCCCTACCCACATTGACTGTCCTGCAAATATGTTTGTGATGCATTGGATAAACTTCAGAAATGTGGTGTCTTTGTGTCTGCATGTCGTTATTGTCCAGAAACTGGAGTTGAGAAAATTTTATTTTTTAAATCTAAGCACACAACATGTTGAAAAATAAATGGAAAAATAAGACAAGGAATGTATTCAATGTGCTTGTATTTTAAGGGCTTGTTCACACCAAATACAGACCAGATCTGCATGAGTTTCTGCACATGCAGTGCAGTGTGTTTTGACGCATTTTTGACGCGCTCCGGACCGTTTTTGTAGAACAAACATTTTGTAGCCTAAAATGGGCCTTTAGTGCGTTCTAAGGTGTTTGTATGCGTTCCAGAGCAGGTAAAATAGGGCTTGCTGCAGCTTTTTTACATGCTCTGGAACTGAATGCTGCGGAGTGAACTAGAGCCCAAAATACCATTGGAATACATTGGACGCAGTATTGATCTGTTCTGTAACTGCTCGGCTCTGCACCTGCCCTGTGCTTGGTGTGAACAAGGCCTTATGAAAATCATAATTGCCTTTAGTGTATTGCATTCTCTAAAATTCCCCTTTTGGTGGAAATAAAAATTCACAACTTCCTTCTTTTGCACTTATTACCTTCCACATGTGCAGATATTTCCCTCCACTTTTTTTAAACTAACACCTTTCTGCAGATAATGTCCCCATCTTACAATCATCTTGCTTCTTAGGTAACTTTTTGACAATGGTAATTTTTTTTAATGTTTTACCTGACATCAGTGTCCATCAGTGTCCATTTGTAGCCTGGTTTTCTGTGTGCTGTGTCATGCAAGCATAGAAGCTACAGCTACCGATCAAGTCATTTTAGTGCCAGTACTAACCTGTACAAGTGAAGCATGGCAATGATCAGAGGACCAGGGAAACGTCGAGATATAAGTTAACCAGACTTCATTTCATCAAAGAAGAGAAGATGTCCATTTAGCTGCTATTGGTTGCTACACTTCAAACAGCACTACAATACTGAAAAGAAAAGTATTCAAATGTGCAATTGTACCCTTCCAACAATCCTATGCATGGTAAAGCTCTGCAAAGCTGCCCCTCAAGTGTGTTTCTTTAGTGCTACGTTTGTGCTGTTTTGTGGCGTAAAAATTAACATTTGTGCTGCTTTTATTTTTAGGATAATAGCAATTTTTTTTTAAGATGATGACATCACCCAGTCCCCCTACAACAGCAAAAATACATGAAACTGGGCTGGATAGTTAGTGCCACGTTTGTGCTGGTTTGTGCTGTGTAGCCTCCCTGGCGGTATGATTCTTTTCTGTTTCGTTTCTTTTTCGGGTCGATTTTTTTCGGCGCCGGCCGGAGGACATCGCGTGGCTCAAGGGACAAGGTAAGTAAATACTATGCGATATTCCCGAGTGTAGCTCAGGGTATGGAGAAGTAACCCCGAGCTACACTCGGGAATACCGCCCAGGAGGTTAAATCTCCATTCTATGCACTTTCGTTTTCGAGATAACTATTTATTAAAGGTCGCTAAAGGTCACCCAGCCCCCTACAAAAGCCAAAAGATATGGAACTGGGCCAAGTTAGTGCCATGTTTGTGCTGTAAAAATTGACATTTGTGCTGCTTTAATTTTTAGGATAATAGCAATTAAAGGTCACCAAAGGGCTGGGTGATTTCATCATCTTAAAAAAAAACCAATTGCAATAAAAGCAACACAAACATAAATAAATCCACGTGTCCAAACTTTACAAAACCTATTATAAACCTATATAAATAAACCTTATTTATATATCCAAGAAGGTTATTAAAACATAGGGGTCTATTCACGAAGCTTCGGCCTTCCATCCTTCGGCTAGCTTCGGCCCCAGGACCCCTTCGGTTCAGTAGAACCGAAGGGCTGCTGTACGGGCTATTCACTATAGCCCGTACAGCTCCCAAACTTAGCCGAGCGGCTCTGTCAAGCTGAAGACATATGCCTCGGCTCGCCTGAGCCGCGCTGAAAGCCGAAGCTTTGGCCGGCCGACAGCCTGCTTCTGACAGCTGGGCGGAGCCAACCGTGATCTTACGGCTGGCTCCGGTCACTTGCAGAGAGATCAGCGTCCCTGGTTACCAGCTAACCAGGGACACTGATCTCCAGACAGCAAACTCTCCCGGGCGCTCCGGGAGTCTCCCGCTCCCGGCCGCCAAGGAGAGAAACACTGCTTTTTCTTTTTTTTCGGAGCCGTGTCAGAATACAAAAAAATAATAATAATTTTTGCCCATAGGAATGCATTGCTAGATTCCTATTGGCTATTTTAATTTGCAATAGCCAATAGTAAGCTAGCATTGCACCCGCCCTCTGCTGCAGTTCTCCATCAGGTTCCTCAGCAGAGGGCGGGTGCAATGCTAGTTTACAATCTGCATTTTCAATTTGCAATAGCCAATAACAATGCAATGCATTGTTATGGGCAAAATGTTTAGATTTTTTTTCTATTCTGACACGGCTCCGTGTCAGAATAAAGAAAGAAAAAAAAAAAGCAGTGTTTCTCTCCTTGGGCGGCCGGGAGCGGGAGACTCACAGAGCGGCCCGGGAGAGGGTTTTTTTTCTTCTTTTTTTACGGCAATAGAAAACTGTTGGGCGGAGCTAGCTGTCATTGCTAGCTCCGCACAATCGTTTTCTATTTATTTTTAAAAGTCCCGCTCCAAAAGGAGTAACAACACTTCTTCACCGCTGCTATTATTCACAATCCAAAACACCTCCACTTATGAGTATTCCCAGAAGACAGCCTCTCACCTCTTTAGTAGACCTCAATCAATAAGGTCCAGTATTGCACACCAGTTTTGCCCGTCGGCAGGTGGGGTAAAGTCTTCACTTATTCTGTCTCTGCAGTGGTCACTGCTCTCACTACGTCCCAGCTGCAAGCCCGTGCATCACCATAGCAAATGCGTCCAGTCTCATTTTATTGGAAATGTTTTTGAGGGTACGTATGCTGTGGATGACAGAACACAATTATATTGGATTAGAGATTGAGGATCATCTGAGCTTGCTGATCATGTAAAGTAGCCACCGCTCCAAACTCACTCCCATGATGGACTCTAATCCCATGTTTAATTTAATCATTTGTATTGAGATTGTAGTCCATCATGGGAGCGAGCTTGGAGTGGAAGGACAGTGTCAGCACCAATTCAGAGATGATTTGAGGATCTCAGCCGAGTGATACACAAATAAGATACATTTTTGTTAATAGTTAGGCTGGGTTCACACCTAGGCGTATTGAATATGCGCGTCTGTTGCGCATTTCGCGTCGGGCGTTTTTACCGAGATTCGCGGTTTAAAAAAACGTGCGTTTCCGAGGGCTACTTGGCTGTATCCCAATGGAAACACGATTAGATTATGTTCTTTGCATGTTTTGAACAAGTTGATGGGTTACTTTGTCTTTTAATGTAAATGCATGCTGTTTTATAGTGTCCATTTTATTACATACCTTGCCATTGTTCTTGCACCTCCTCAATGAACAACTAGTTATTTTAAAAAATATATACATTTTAAGATATAGTGCGTGAATAGGAAAACATAACAAACCTATAGAGGGTTTTTCTCAAATTTGACTGCAAAACTGGAAATACACGTTAAGTGATTTCTTCCCCCAAGTCGGACGTGTAAATGTCGGTGGGCAGTCTAAGGAGGTAAGAGATGAGAGGAAGAAGGTTTATTTTTTATCCCTAATAAAAGGAAGTGCAATTACCTTTGCCATCTAAACAAAAATACATTTTGACAATATAAGAATCATGCAGCACTATTGATGGTACTTGTTTTTCTATGACATAAATGATTAAGATTTCTTGAAAAGATGAGAAAGTATCTTGTAATTATCCTTAACATGACCTGGACTCCATTTTAAGCTTTTAAAGCAACTGTCCAATAACAGAGCTCCCTGTAAAGAAGATAGTGGATATTTACCTCTCCTTCTGCCCATGCCACCAAACGCCGCTCTAATTTAGCAGTGGTGCAGGCTAGTGGTTGTTGGACTACAAGTCCCAACAACAGGATCCA